GATGGATGCCTCAAGAAGGGTTTCATGGTTTTGCTTGGGCAACATGTACTACTGGTGCTGAATCTATCCACATGCAAAATAAATGTCAAATGTATTTATGCATTCTATTTATCAACAGACAGATTATCCTGAGTCATCTCATATTTTTACAATGTAAGCATACTACACTATTATTTAACACAATCTTCCTTTACCACTTGCCAATATCCAGGAAAAAAAATCCCAGCTTGTAAAAGAGATCACAGTAACCTTTTGTGATGTATAATTACTTACACTTGGTCCGATGGATAACTAGGAACTACCACTTCATTAAAATCAGTTAACAAAATTCAATCACAATAAGCAAATTCAGGAACATGGAAAAGACTTTTCATAAAATAATGAAGTGTGACAGAACAACCTAACCTTTACCTAACCTTACTTTAAAATACTTACAGTAATTACTTTTGAAAAGAATTATTGTGGCTAATAATGGAACAACAATATATGAAACATTTGTAAAATCCACTTTGTGGGGGCAAGACTTGAGCAAATTTTAAGTCATAGTAAATTCAGTCATTTTACTTCAAAGTTTCATGTAAGAGCTAAATGGTAATTATGCCAAACACAACTACTCAAGTGTATTATAGCAACTGCTGAAATCAACAGTATGATTTTTATGTACACAACGTTCAAAAGGCTTTGAAAGCCCATTTGGACATTACAGATGAACTTTTTAGTAAAACCTCACTTTCCACAGTACTGTATACTCTCCTTCTTATCAACGAAAAGATTTTAAGTTATCTTCATGTAGGTAAACACCTCACTGGTGATAAATTAATGGTATTTGGAGTCTTATTTTTCCCAGTTGAATTTTCTTTAAATATTAAAACTAGACAAAAAGGTTGTTCTGCTCAGTATGGTCATAAATTCACTACAGTGTTTAAAATAATTCCTTAAAAATGCTTCTCGGATTATGTTTTCTATCTCACGACACTGAAAGCATGAGTTTATGCCAAAAAAAGTCATTTTGACATTTCAAATAACTACACACCTATGAAATAAAAGCCCACTACTAAGCTGTCCATTCACCAATCATGTCTGGAAACTGAGAAGTTCACTTATGCTTGGAGGAAAAAAGTAAGAATTTCAGAAAGTTATTCAGCTTTTTGTGTAAGCCACTACGAAAAATCCTTCTAGTTTAATATAGTGCAGGGAAGTTTTCTGATAGTCTAGTACCTGGTCTGAGAATCTGCTTAAGATATATAAAATAAGAAGAGTAACAAAATCCTTTCATTCTCTCCACTGCAGAGTTTAAATCCAAGTGTATGTAAATCTCAATTCATCCTCTCATATCATGAGGCCTGAGGAAAATAAGTTACAGACTCACCACATGATTAGTTTTAAAAACAGGCATCACCTCCTGCCCAAAATAAAACTAGCACAAGATGCACAAATATTCTGTCAGTGCCAAAACGAGTTTAAGGAGAGGTGGCCATAAAGACAAGTGACTTACAGCAATATGAGTAAGTCGAGGAAGAATAATTCTAGTAAACGAAGTAACAGGTCTTCCACCAATTGAAAACAGCAGCTTGCAACTTGCTATGCACATGAACAGTTCTCTCTCAAACAAACTGGCAGTTTCCTCCAAATGCCATGGACAGATACTCTGTATACATTGATACTACAGTTTTATTACTCCACACCTAATTGCAACAAACGGGGTTCCATACAGCAGCTTGAACTTTTTCCCTTGGCACAAAGCAGAGAGAATTACTTCTCAATGAACCACTCTCTCAGGTGCAGTGTACCAAAACTTGCTGTTGCCCTCCCGAGTTCCACCAGTGACTCCTGAGTAACTTTATCACTGCTCTTACATTGACTTTTTCAACCTAGTCCTGTGGCTAACAGCCTCCAAGCTAATTGCCACTAAAGGCAAAACAGGATAAAAAGACCCTTCCCTCAGAACATGAGTAATGCTGTTAGGTCTGCTGTTCCTAGAAATCTAGTTAACCTTATTGACTATTTCTCTTTCCTGCATGAAGTCAACGCTTGGCATGTAGCTCTATGCTAGCTTGCAATACAGCCTGTTAGATGTCAGTTACTATTGCAGGAGCTACTAGGCTCTTCAGTGCTAGAAATTACTTAGTATCTGGGCAAGGGACAGAAAAGCATCCAGATAAAGGATTTCATTTTCAAGAATCTCAACATGGGAAGAAAAAAAAAACCCAAACAACAAGCCACACAACCAGTCTCATCTTCCACAGCAAGCCCCATTCTGAAGGAATTCTGTTTCTTTACGGAAGTTGTAAATTCTCAATAGGAAACACAAAGAAAGTAAAGTACATGAGTACATTGATCTTTGTAATCATGTAAAGGACTGCTCTCCTGGTTAGGTGCTTTGGCACAGCTGGCACGGCAAAATAAATCACAGAAGTATATGCAGTACTGAAAAACATTTGGTGATCATCCGATCTGACAAAGAATACAATCACAAGCACAAGTGAATCTAAATTAGAAAAAGTAGGGGTGAGGATCTTTATAACCACCATTCAGAAACAAGGTTTCTTGGTTCATCTCTTCAGTATTTTCAGATCTAGAAAACCCCCGGAATAGTCAACCTCCTCCTCCTCCCACTGGAATGAAGGATAACCACCACCCTAAGTACAAGCTCTGGCCTGTACTTGGAGACTGAATCTAGGGTCTCACGAAGACACACTCTGAAAAAAGAAAAATTAGTGGAGGTAGGATGGAGGTCCAAACTGTCTGAATTGCATAACTCTTCCCATTCTTTCCCAGATTCTCTTGAACAAAGCCCAACAAAAAATTCCCTGTCTCAAATCAATTTTGACTGAAAATTCAATACCAGACACAGGACTAAAGGTAGGTTTGTTTGTATGCAGGTTCTCCTCCTCTTATAAATTAGAGGGATGAAATGGAGTTCACTTCAGGAGCGACACCCTGAAAAAAGAAAAGAAAAAAAAAAAAAAAGGAGGGAACAAGGGACAAAAGAGAAAGAGGATGAGGAGATGACTAAACTGTCCACTGAGCAAGATTTCCAAACTGCTGTCACATCCAGCATACGAAATAAATAGTCCGTCAATCTGCTAGACTTGCTGTACACAAAGAGTGAGCAAATGTGTTACAGGAAGCACATCTGAAAGGGGAGTACACTTTGAAGTGTAACTTTTGAACATGCGCACTTGATATAGGATGCAAAGTGAGCTGTTATCTTCATAGTAGATTAAAACCCCTTAGCCTAACCAGTGTCAAATATTCTGAGTTATCAGACTATTAAATTAATCCACAAATGAAAGTCAATCACCAGAATTATCAACTAAAATAATTTACTTTGGAAAGTAACAAAACCTGTCCTTAGTTTTGGACACAACAACTCCTTGAAGCAGCAACAAGAAGGAATGAGTAGTTAATAGACAACATACCCCTTTTGCAGCTTCATTCCAAGAATATTTAAGAATATCAGGAAGAGAGGAAAAAAAACGCAAGTGTTTTAACATTACCATTCTAATAAGTACTTAGTCTTCAGCTGCCCTGCTTGACAGACCTCACTAACAGGACTATATTAAAGGCACTCATAAGAAAAAACTCTCTCAAGAGGTTCTACTACATGTCAGACTTCTATCAGACACTCATTCAACTTTTGCAGACTTGCTTCATTCAGTGAACTGAAATCAATGCTGAACCTAGCGCTGCAAGAAACCAGTAATTTTAAGTTTTAGGAAAAGTTCTGACCCTAAACCAAACATTATTTCATCTCCGCATCACTATTAAAGAAGTATCCTAGAAATACTCAGCAGACTGCTCATGGTTTTTCCCCCGACACCCCAGGAGCATGGATGCTGCAGGCTCGCATAAGATACACATCAACTCTGAGATTACATGTACAGGAAACAAACTTCTCTATCTCCTTAGAAAGTCCAGAGAACTACAGAATTAATTGCTTTATAGCCTTCCAGCTCCTCTCGCTTTTATAAAAGCTCTATCCTTTCAAAAAAAATACAAACACAGACTAAAATTTGATATGCAGTTCCAAATCAGTTCCAACAGCAGCTTTAGATGTTGATTTATGTATCAGAACAATAACCTTTACTTAAAAAAACCTCAAAAACCTGATGAAGTAGTAGAACTACTTCAAGTAAGATAGGAAATGTATTCAGCCATCAATTCTTTTATCATATGTCTACACACTTTGCTGTGCCACCATATTGTTAAGCAGTGCAGTACAATGTTACAGGAGTGAACACAGAACAGATGCAAAACAGAGGTGGTTCCTCATCAAATCCATTTACACACCACTTTATAGGTGGAACACACAAGAAAGATTTCTCACTTTCCAAAGTCCTGAAGTCAAACACTGAAGCTACAATACAGCAAGAGGCACACCTCTCCTTCAAATCAGTTATAAAAGATCCTTATGCGCTACATGACAGAACAAGTTTCCTACAATCTTCCAAACAGTACTTCAGCATACACACAAGAATGAACACAACCCCCTTTCACCAGCTCATAACAACTCTCAGAACAGGCAGATGCTGGAAAATTTCAATAGCTCTCATGCAAGCTAGAAATTCAAGAGAAACCTACTGGGCACATTCTCATTCTAGCTGGAAAATCATAAAGCCAACTCAAGAGTAAAGCACTACTCTGAGGTTACTACAAGAGAAAACATTTTCCAGGGAACCAGACATTATCACCAATAAGACCTGCAGCATAATGCCAGAGACTAACACACCAAGGAGAAAGAATTTCTGTTTCCTTTCGGTAATCAAACCTGAAATTCAGAGGTAGCCATAATTATGAAGACAGTTTTCCAGACAACAGAATGTTCCTGCTTATTCGCCATTAAGAATAAACAGAGAAGGCTAATCTTCAAAATAAAAACATATTCTTAAAAGCCACTAAGCCAAACCGTTATGATGCAATTTTGAGTTTAGAAAAGTAAAAAGCTATCTCTGATCTACTAACAGGGAAAGTACTAACTGGCTTAGGCGTTAGGATACGTGTAGAGTTCCATGTATCTGGATTTTGCCATACTTTGTCTGGTGTAAACCTGTTGAATTCCAGCTCTTAGGTCATCCCATATCTGGTCAAGACCAATCTGTTTAAGTCCATGTGGGTTCTGACTCCTATTTGATGACATTTTGTATTTCCTGTAAAGTCTTCCAGTGCAGCAGCCTGAGATCTGGTTATTCCTCCATCAGAATCACAAGTCAAGTAACATTCTAAACTCGGTTGCAGCAACTCAGCGAGACAGTCTTTACATATAAAGAGTGATGTTTCCCAGGAAGATAATCTGCAAAAGGAAAATATACACATTATCCAACAGTCCACATTCATTCACACCAGATAAAAAGATACAAAATTAACGATTTCATTGAAGCATTTTCATTTACACAGATGAGAAATCCATGATGAGATGTAAAATACCAGAACCAAGGAACATAACTTTCTCCAATCCACCACAAGACGTGACTGCTAGTGCCCAGATCTGTGCAAAGCTCACAGGTACTTAGGTCAGCACCGCTGACAATAAAACCCTAATGGTAATAAGAAAACGTAAGGGTAACAATCTTTCCAAGCAGCAGACACTGTCCTACTAAGAAGCGTTTCCTCACTATACAATAGTAGAACGCCGGTATTTCCCAACAACCCAAGGTTCTGTGGTAACTCTTGTTTAACAAGCATCCTGATGGATATTCAAGATTAACCAGAAGATACCAAAAATAACTATTTTTCTTCAGTTATCAATAACTCTTCCAGATATGCAATTCTATTACAGATAACCTGAAAGCCCAAGGTATTTTGGGAGCAGAGAATTTTTCTATCTGGTAAACGTCTGCTTATAATAATTTCTTCGCTAAGTAAATGAATGCCACTTCCTTCAATGTCATCTTACCAGCATGAGAATACACAGCCAATAATGGTGAGAAGAAAGAACAGCTAATGGAGTGCACAAAATAAAGACTGCATGAATTGTGAATGAAAGAGTAAGAAACTAAGAAGATGCAATACTCCCACAAGTGCTTAAGCACACAAAGTTTGGGAGGTAGTGAAAAGATGGTAATCAACTCATCAGACTCATGAAATGACATGGGTAGGAAAACAGCACCTGGAAAGGAGTACTGAGAATACCAAGCAGAGAAGATCTATTTTTACACAAGCCCTTAAAAATAGTTTACAATTTTAACATCTCATCCACCATAGCAACAAAATTAAGACGACAGCCGAAAACGACAAAGGAGGCAACAGTATTTTTAAATCACAGAGTTGTAATAAGTCAGGATCCACTTACTCTTATAGCAACCTTTCAATATACAAAGGGAGCTTCAAAGAAATATGGAGAAAAGACTTTTTACTAGGGACTGCAGTGACAGGACAAGGGTCAATGACTGTAAGTTGAAAGAAGGTAGATTTAGATTGGATATATTACGAGGGTGGTGAGGCACTGGCACAGGCTGCCCAGAGAAGCTGTGGCTACCCCCTCCCTGGCAAGGTTCAAGGCCAGGTTGGATGGGGCTGGGAGCAACCTGCTCTAGTGGAAGATGTCCCTGCCCATGGCAGGAGATTTGGAAGTAGGTGATCTTTAAAGGTCCCAACCCAAAGCATTCTGTGATTCTGTACCCTAGAGCCCATTCACTGAAATACTCAAAACACAGTGAAACATGATGACTTTTTGCCATGCTTCTATAGACAAGAATACAGCTTTATGACAAACCTGTCCTGTAATGGAGCCTGCTGGCCAAGGCTCCCATGAACCCTTCCATAATTTCAAGGGCAGTATAGATAGTGACCTGATAAATCACGTTATTTGTTTTTGACCTTCGAGCAATGGAAAATAAAAGATATTCCTCCAGGATCTACAGTATGTCATAGGTGTTTTGTCACAGCCACTTCTAGGCTATTGCACGTTCTTGCATGTTCCACTTCAGGCTTCACACTGTTTTAAAGATTTAGTATTCTTTTATACCCTGTCTGACCCCTGCCCAATTATCTGTAGGACCTCTGCCTTTCCTCCTTGACCCTAAAAAGACCAGCTAAGATAGTGACATTTCTTAAGTATTTTTGGTCCTTACTGCAGTAACACACAAGTCACCACTCCTCATAGTTCTTTGCTATCCATCATCCACAAGCATTTAAATCTCAAGCTCTAAGTAAAAAAACTGAGAAGTATTTTCATTATGTCAATCTATGCAACAAGTACAGTCTCATTTCAGTCAAGACATAAACTGTTTCTGTAGCTAAGTTTTCTTTTTACACGAGCAACAATTACTTAGATTAGTGGAAGAACAAGAATTAAATCAATATATATCTTATAAAACATATACTTAAAATTCAGTGTTGCCACTCTGTTTCTATGATTACAGCAAACTGGCTACTGGAGACACACGGGAATAACACATCATCATGCTGAAGTGTAATACAGATCATAACTTGTTTGTATTCAACTTCTTTAACTTCTGGAAATCAAACCTGCTGCAGTACTAATAATGACAGACTTCCACGACTGAACACTGAAAGCCAGAAAGAACAAAGGTCCATGAGTGGCCATTCGCCTCTACTGCGGGAAACAGTCTGTGCACGTCACACACCCACGATCTTGGACTATGATCCTACATCAGCATCGCAACTGAAAGCAAGAAAGTTAAGTCAATCTTTACAACCCTGGGAGGAAGAAACTTTTTGGTTCCTTAAATCTGGTATTATTTGAACTCTCCACAAAAGCAAGAGAAGACACGGTTAGGAATGTACAACTCTACTACAACTGCAGTATGTGTAAAAAGTAACTGACCATTACTCCCTTATTAATCTGTAAAAAGCAAGCAGCCTAGAACTAGGGTGCATTTTAGTAAAAATATTTTGGTGTAACTAATACAAAATGCTTCACTGCTGTACAAAAGTTCGTAACAAAAGGCCACCTCCTTGCCAGCTAGCAGAAAACATAAACATCACAATAGCTCACAACTGGGCCAACATCCCTTCCTAGGCAGCCCACAGAGAGAAGCGACAGCCAGGGCTCTAACTCAGACATCTCTCCAGGTGCTGGTAAGAGGCAGCCACCCTTCCATTGCAAGCCTGCCATCACTGGCTGCCCAGCAGATGTGGAGTTCCCCCCTCTACAACATTGGAAATATTTAACTTTCTTCTCTAATTACACATCTCCTAGGTTTTATGTACCCTGGTGCATCTACAAATGCTACTTTTCCCCGGAATCTTTTAAACTCAAGGTGTTCCTCATTCACACTGTACTAATTTTCCCTTCCCCTTTCCTAAAGCAACCCTCTGTATTTACGTCAGGATGTGGCCATTAAAACCAATGCCATGAGAAAGAACTTAATTTTTATTTTTATTTTCTCATGCAGTCCACTACATAGAAATATTCTTTATAAGCAATAAATCCCACTGCATTTGATAACATCACCTCACTATCCCCTGGCTGGCTTCCAATTTGAATTTCACAACTGAAGACATGAATACAGAATGACAACATCATGTCACTAACTTCCTAGACTCAAATAATTTACTTCTTCCAGTTAGTTATCAGTTAACACAGTTGGGAAACAAAGCAATAGATGAATAATGCTATGAACTACTACTAATTTTTTTGCAAATTTATTCATGTGCAGAAAAATAGAAAGGTAATTATTAATATATTACCTTAACAAGAGTAAAGTTCCACTGGGTGAGAACACTTTAACTACAAAAGGATATTTATGAAAGGAACTATTTGTACTTGGCAGTTAAACCAAGCTAAGGTGTTACATGTTTAGAGAGATGAGGAGTAAGCCGAGGCTTTGTTACTCAGCACAACTGTAAACACCCAGTGAAAATATGAAATTCTATTTCATGCGAGAAGTGCAAGCATAGTTTTCAAAATTATTTTTGTGATTCACACAAGGAGAAAACATCTCCTAGGCAAACAATTCTGGAAGGTCAAATGTGGTCCACAGTAGTCACACTGCATCTCTTTACCCAACGTCCTGATTGCTAAACTTACAAAGAGGGAGAAAAAAAAGTTTAGCAGTCTACCACTTCCCAGTGTCCAGGCTGTGGGCAGCTGCCAAGAACCATGAATCGCTACAGTTGAATTAAAACCTCAACATTAAGTATAACCTTTACATCAGTGCGACCTCTCACTTGCCGAAGTGCTGTTGGCAGGATTATGCACAAGACAGTCTCGATCTGACTGTCCCCATGCTTTCTTGCCCGAACAGATCAAATTTTCTTCATGGACAGACCCACCTGCCCAACTTGCAACGTCCGCTCTGTAGCTCTGGACCAGAGAACCCAGACTTCATGACAGCTTCAGGACCAGCTACACTTATATGAAAAAAAAAATTTTCCCCTACAGTTTCCAGCCGATACATATACACAATTTGATGCAGCAGCATGATGGTGTTCAATGCCATTCTGTCTTTCAACCCTGCATTCAAGTGCTACAATCACAACACTGTCAAACAAAACTGCCATTTCTGCCCATGCTGACCGTCAAAAGGAGGTAATATTTCTGCCAAAACTTAGAATAACAACTTTGGAGGACAGAGGGAAATGCTATTTTCATTACTGTGGGGAACACGACATGACACACTTCATATGCAATGAAACACATCACATTGGAAAACAGTGGGTTTGGTTTTACTAATTGTCTAATAATAAATAGTATTTCTTTTAGATAGCCCATCTGAGGAACATGATGTGTATTCCAAATGAGGCCTATAAAAGAGGCTGAACGTTAACCCTACTTTTATCTAAAAACATGATAAAATCCACCAGATTTACAGCATCTCAAGCCATCTGCTGGAGCGACTACCTCACTTTCATGTCCTAATACAAAATAACTTTCAGCTTCACAGCTTCAAGGCCTAAGCATCACCTGTTGTTCTCCCACAATCACTTATTACTAAGTACAGATTTCAAGATAGCTTACTTCAATAATTACAGATAGAATTTGAAATTGTCAGCTTCCTGGCCCAGTAAGAACTTACAGGTCCAGACCAAGGTCTTCCAGCTGACCTGAGAGCCCAGACAGCACTTTTTTTTTTTTTTAAAGACACAGGACCTAGACTTAGTCATTTCCCAGTATTTTATCCCTTGTCTAATTTCAGACATGAGGAGAACATTCTCGTCATGCCTAATAGTGTGAGCTAAGGTGACCAGACTTAATCATACCAAAACCAAACACATTAGGGAAGAGAAGCAAGTTTCACTAATAAGCTATGGTGGAATGAATGCCATTAAGAATAAGTTCAAAGACCTTTAGCATTAAGAGGTTTACAAGTGTGTATTAAAAGGCAGAATTT